GCTCTGGGCGCCCTGGAAGCTTAGGGCAGGACGTTGCTTTTGAAAAGAGATCAGCCTTTCCCCCGCGGCCGAAAAAATACTATTAAAAGAAAAAAAACCTCAGTGCTGAAGTGCTGAGCCATGTGGCTGAGCTTTACTATCGTGATACGCTGCCCAGGTGGCGACCGTGGCCGCTTCTCTGCCTTGTTCAGACCCGAGCGCCGTTAGGCCCCAGTGGTACTGGTGAAGATGCCTTTTTCTGCACAGGTTTTTTAGGGGGACGAGCAAAAGCAACGAGAGTCGGTTGCTTTCCCTTTTTTTCTTAAACGAGCAGGCAGCGGAAGTCAGATTTCGGGTGTGGCAGATCTGTAGTGTATTTCAGGTAAAATTAAATGCATAAAAGTAAAAGGAGGTCAGGCAGGACTTATTGGTATGAGCAGAAATATAGCTTGCACAGTTTTCTCCTAGTTTTAGGGTGTTTTAAATAGTGGAAGGCAAGGACAGAGACACATCATTATACAAAACAGCAACTGCTTACCCCTGTCAGGTATCAAGTATGGGTGCTTCAGAGTTTGTTCAGGTGAACAGTGTTGTGTTTCTCCTTCCCTTACTGCCTAATATTGCAAACAGCTATCCTCTATCCATATCCAGAGTTCTTTCACGGGCTTAACAGATCTCAAAACCTCGCTTTGATTCTTTAGACTCGAGACCTGGCCGAGTTCCCTTCTAGCAGATGCATATATCAAGGTGGGGTCCCAGACAAAAAGCTGTCACTTTGAAAACTAAAATTTAAGTTATGTCTTCTCTTAGTGATTTTTTGTTTTGTTTTGTTAGGAGTCTGACTGTCATTTGTTTGTATTTTCTACTTTCTCTCTTTCTGATTAGGGATGTACCAATGGGGCAATAGAAGGGTGTTAGGGGTGTTTTCTACCTGGGAACTCTAAACCTTAGTATAGGGATTTTTTTTAAGTCCTAACTCTGATCTTACTGTATTTACCATATTTACTTCTCTCCCTAGTGTCCAAAAATCAAAATGTCTAGCAAAAAGGCGAAGACAAAGACCACCAAGAAGCGCCCTCAGCGTGCCACTTCCAATGTATTTGCAATGTTTGATCAGTCGCAGATTCAGGAATTCAAGGAGGCCTTCAACATGATTGACCAGAACAGGGATGGCTTCATTGACAAGGAGGACTTGCACGATATGCTCGCCTCCCTTGGTAACGTCACTTTACTGCTTATGGTTGCCAAACAAATGTATGCTGTTATAGTTAAAATGCTGAGTTTGGGCTAGCTTATGAGAGCTGTCTCAGTTTGCATTGCCCTGCTCGGATTACTTTTAGTTTGAAAGGTAAAGCAAGTACGAATCCCTTTATTGGCAGGAAAGAATCCAACGGATGAATACCTGGATGCCATGATGAACGAGGCTCCAGGCCCCATAAACTTCACCATGTTCCTCACAATGTTTGGTGAGAAGTTAAATGGCACAGACCCGGAAGATGTCATCAGGAATGCTTTTGCTTGCTTTGATGAAGAAGCGACAGGTACATGGGTGAAACTCAACTGTTTGGGGTGGTGGGTTGGTATTTTTATGTTATTTATTTAGGTTTGTAAATACTATGCTGATTTTTTCACCTTTATAAATGAAGTATGACACGGTAATGCTTTGTGTATATTCTACCCAGTAATAAGAATTTGAGTAAAAACTGGCTGTTCTGTGTGGATACGGAGGACTAGTAGTAATGTTCTTCTGTGAGTCTCCGAGGAAGAGTATTTTAACTAGGCAGCATGTGTTTCCTCCAAGTGCAAAATAATATGCATTTGCTCTAAGAAGATGAGGAATTCAGATTGATAATACGTGATTTTCTGTGGCATTGAAAAGGTAACGGCTGTGAAATCTGTAATACAACTGAGTTTGTCTTCCACCTGCAGTAGATCTGAGATGCATCTGAATTCTTTGATGTATTTAATATTTCAAGACAGGCTGCCCAGGCTAGGTAAACTCTTTTGAGACCTCATCTTGCATAGTGTTTGTTCTGGCTCTGATGACAAATGCCATGTGTCATGCCCTCAGCCTTTCGGGTTGCAGGAAGGGCTGTAGCCTTAATGTTCTAAAGATAAAACCAGGGTGGGGTCTAGAAGACAGAAATGACTGATGGACTGACTTGCATAGCAAGGTGGCGGGAAAGAGGAAAATGCAGAGTTCAGTTTAACTATATCAGACTTTCAAGATTGTGCCTGTAATCTTGAGGTTGGAGTTTATGCTTTTATTTATTTATGCGTGTAGACTGAGATTCCGCAGAAGTGTGTAGCAACCAGGGGTGAATCCTTGCTGCAATTCTGTGGAATTACAGAATATCAGTGCTTTGACGTGTTGTGAACATGAGTGACTAGTGCATGCCGAAATTACGTAGCCTGTCTGCTAGAGATGTCACCGCACCCATAACTTCTCTCACAACTGTCCACCACAGTATTTCAGTCTAACCTGTGGATATGTGTTCTGAACCTTTCAAAGGATATTATTCCATTTCAAATGGCTATTTTCAGTCTGTGTATTTTTAGCACCTTTAGCCTTTTCAAACAGTATCCCCTTCCTGC